ACTATATATATGCGTACGTATGCATGTATGTATCACCCTGATTTTTTTATCGTGCGTTGTGAGTTAACCGGGTTTAATACAAAATTCCAAATTTAAAACAAAATAATTTTGACTCTTTATTTTATTTATTCATATATATATAGCCTAAAATTGATAAAAAAAAATTGATTACTTTAATCTACAAATTCAAAATTCTAAATTTAATAAAGACAAGTATTCAAATTCTCTCCATCTCTAAACTCTATAATAGCATTTACTATTTAAAACTCTTTTGATCTTAATCAATTATCCTTCAATATATTAAAACTCTATATATTCTATGTGGCATTTCTAATACCGATGAAAAAACCGAGTGATCGCCAATGTGATAGAGTACAAAGTAGAAGCAGTTCTTAGTAAATTTATAGAAAGAATAGATAAGAGGATGAATTAAACGCATCAAAATGTAAAAGATTTGAACACTTTGTAGATGTGAAACTATACAATAAAAATAATTTAAATGAATTGATTGAGGTACTAATACAAACAAATATCTATTTTTTCGGTTATCTATAATAAGAAAACACCGAAATTTTCGTTATATAATAATATTATAATAAGTGATTTCTTAGAAAGTATTTCTCGAAATATGTGTAAATGATGGTAAAATACGTCTCGTATTAGTCGGTGGGATAATTTCAATGTTTGTAACACTACAAAAAAACAGTTATATAGCGACGGAAAAATCCGTCGCAAATATAAAAGGAAATTCGTCGCAATTAAAAATTTACGACGGAATTATTTCCGTCGGTATAGCGCTGTCGCAAATGTAGCGTTTTACGACGGAAAGTGACGGATAATTCCGTCGCAATTTTTTCCGTCGCAAATGTTTTAAAATTTTTTAAAAAAATATAAAAAAATTATATACTATATATACATACATATATACATTTTCACATACACATACATTCATACACATACATTACACACATACAAATATACATACACATACATACATACATATACATATATTTTCATATATACAAACACACATACACATACATACATATATATACACATATTTTCATATACACAAACACACATACACATTCACACATATACACATATTCATATACACATACAATCACATATACATACACATACATATTCACATTCACATATATATATACACATACACATACATAAACACACACACATACACATTCACACATACATACACATTCACTTACACACATACACATTCGCACATATATATACACATTTACTTACACACACATACACATACATAAACACACACAAACACATAAAAAACACACATATATATACATAAATACACATATATTACCTTATGGGAGAAATATGGCGATCTTTGGAGAGATTTAGAAAAAAATTGGCGATTTTTATTTTTTTTTCCCGAAAATCTTTGAAGTCTGGTGAAGAAGACGACTCGTGGTTTTATATTGCGTTTTGCGACGGAATTTTTCGTCGCAATCCGTCACAAAATGAAATTAATTTACGCGCCCAAAATTCAAAAAAAGTCGTCGAAAAACGAAACCAAATACATTGCGACGGAATATTCCGTCGCAATTTTTATTTTCCGTCATAAATCATTTATTTATTTGTTGTGACAGAATTATCCGTCGCAAACCGTAGCAAATTGCGACGGATTTTGCTACTGTTTGCGACAGATAATTTTTTTTTCACATTTTGTCGTAAAATCGTCACATTCCATCGTAATTTTCTGTGCGAGGAAATTTTCGTCGCAAATTCCGTCGCTATATGCAGGTTTTTTTGTAGTATAACGACCACGATACGTTATATTTTAAATGTTTAATCGAATGGTATAATTTTATTAGTTTCATAATATGTTATCAGATATATTAATGGTTCAAAATTAACCTTTATTATTTATTTATAATTTCCAACAGGGAAACTGTATATATCCAATTCAAAATCAAAACCAGAAACACATTATATGTACATATGGAAACCTTTATTCGGTGTATATTTTTTGTCTAACATAATCTTTTTTGTTTCGAATTTGAACTTGAAAAACTCTATACATTATACACATTAAAAAAATAAATAAAGATTTTGGGCCCAATTCACGTTTTTATTTATAGAGATGGAAACATTTTTCACATTTGGCGCTGAAAAAGTAAATAACGGTCAAAAAAGCAAAGTAATGAACTTTATCAAAGAAACCAATGAAATACTCAATTAAATAAAATGATAACCCAACTAATGATGGGTATAATTTTGATTTTTTAAAACTCGAGAACTCTATAAATTAAAACAGTTATAATCTCACTCTTTTTTAAAATAAATTACGTGTTTGATGCGTTATTTTCATATTTGTAAAGCTAACAACTAATTTGTTAAAATATCTTGGTTCGAAAATATAAATAAATTCAATTTATTCAAATAATATGTAATCGAATTTAGTTTTGGTTTAAATGTCCGTTATTTTCTAAATCAAAACTAATCACAACTAAATATAAAATAATAAAAAATAAACAATATTGCCGAGTTGTCATGCCACGTGGACAATATGCCCCACCCCCTCCCCGCCGTAAGCGTTTGCGTTCCTCGGAGCACCCAAAGGCTGTTTTTTTTTTCCTTTTTTTTTCTGGACAGTGTCAAAATTCTTTTTATTTCCTATTTTTTAATAGCTTTTCAGTGTTGCTTTTTTTTTTAAAAAAAAAAGAATTATTCTTGCAGAAACGACATAAAAATAAATAAATGAATAATATCTTCTCGAATTATCCATTTCGGATTGATCCTTGGGTCACAGAAATATTAGTATTTTATTTTAAAACAACCCATAAGGATAATATCTTGTGATGACGTGGCTCCCACCGCCCGACCAGGCACCGGCGGGAACTTTTCCCGCCAAAATCGAGGTGAGTGAACGGAGCGTAAAAACACCAATTTTTTTTTTTAAAAGAGAATATTCTTTTCTTCTCCAAACTAAAATTTGTGATAGAGTGAGTTATCGTGTCAGTTAATGCTTCGGTTACTGCAATGCACGTCGTTGGAGAGGAATGTACGGATGGCTGTATCCTCCACGTGTCGAGATCGTGGCCAGACGTGCTTCTACATCGTGCAACGTAAACGGACAGGATTGAAAACTTTAATAGGTAATCAAAGGACGTTAAAAACAATAACCTTATATTTGAACATTAGATTTTAGATGGATATATAATATTTACCAATATATAAATATACATAAAAAACAAACTCCGTTTTTGTTTTATTTAAAAAAAATATTTTTTGGTATAGAACGATTACAACCCGATAAAAACAATGGAGGATTCACCAAATTAGACGTTATAAGTTAAGATTTCGTGTAAAATGTGAGTAAAGTAGATTAATAAATGATTACATGCTCACACTAGTTTCATACAATTTGTATTGATTATAGATAATAACGTTTCCACTCCGCAACCACAATATATAGATGCACGTGACATACTCGTGCTGCAGAACGTGGACCCCTACGTATCTAATGCCAACCAACTATCTCTTCGAATCCTCGTCTGATTTTCACTTTTTCTTTATTAATTTTTATTATGCAAATTCCAATAAATAAACTAAATACACATAAATCCCAATTTGGCTGATATATTATTTTTTTTATTTTTAAAAAGAGTAAAATGGAGAGAGAGAGTAATGAACAGTAGGGTACTCCGCCGAGCAAATCACCTCATCGACGTGAGCATCACGCGCGGCTTCCCTCTTTCTTTAATCACCTCCCGACCATTTTAAAGCGACCACGTGTCCATTCCTACTCGCTGCCCATTCCCCATAAGAGTACGATTTTACCCTTCGTAAGCGCTTGAAATAACACTCCCTGCCCCTTTGGAACGCCAGCTTTCAAATCCAAACTATTGGGCCCCGGATCTTCGATTCGAAAATTCTCAAGATATTAAAAGACGGATATGCCCTGGAAAAGTCCGAGGAATTGGGACCAAATTGAGGGTACCATCGGAAATTCAACAAGTTCCACGGAAAAAAGCGGGAATCAAGGAGGGCGTAGCTGTCACGTGCACACGTCATGATTCGGGAGGTGGGTTAAATTTTTCTCACGGAGCATCGATTACACGTGGAACAGTGGTATTATGCCACGTGGTATACGTTGGGCCGTCTGATCCTCGTGGCATCTTGTATTTGGAGGGGAAAGCACGCAAAGGTAATAGGTGGCAAACACTTTGGACAGGACACGTGGCATCGGAGCTTGACAGTTGATCAACCATGACCCCCGGATCTGTTGACATGTGGATGTCATAAAGATGGGAATGGTTTGTCCCCTCGTTGATATAAGTTTGTTTAGTAAAATATCGATAACGTTGTATAATCTAATAATTTCATCTGTTAAGGTAAAATAATATTATCATTTATTGAATATATATGATATGTGATGTGTAATATTGTAAAAAAATAATATCTATAATATATATATATATATAGAGAACTAGGGATATAGATGCATAATTAAGGAATGCTCAAAGTCTATTTCCGTCTAGAATTTATATCCTTATTAATACCAATGGTGGTCTATCAGAATGTATAAATAGGAAGAATTAATTTATTTCTATAACAAAATTGATATGTTCAAATTTAAATTTGTGATACGATCTTCCATATATATCAAATAAAAATATTTCCTTTTGGCTGAAATTCTCTGATTGATCTATTTTTAACACTTTTGCATTTAGATATATAATTACGTTTATAAAATTCATTAATTAAGATATCAATAATATAATAAAAAAATTACATGTTTAATTTGATTTCATTAAATCATGTTAATAACCATTATGAATGAATGAATTAAAATAAATAAAAAAAGTCAGAACAAGGGAAGACTTTATTTGAAACGGGGCCTGGGTCGAGTCGTGCCTCTCCATGCTCATAATATAATATATATATTTTTATGACAAAATTTTAAAAGAAATATATAATAACTGTATTATAAATGGAGGCTCGTCCTTGGGTTTATGCGAAAGCGTGCTTTGCTCTTTCGAAAGAATCAGGAGAGAGAGAGAGAGAGGTAACGGAATCTGAGTCGCGGTTGCGAAGGGTAAAACGACTACGTTTTGTGGAGGAGTAACGCCGGTGAGACATTGAAGAGAATAAAACCGTCTCGTAGGTTTCGGACAGAGAGAGAGAGCGAGGGAGATGAGTTTTGTCGGAGGTCTCTGGTAGGGAGAAACAGAGGTGAATCGAAAGGGCTGCGCCGTTAGAGAGAGAGAGAGAGAGAGAGAGGGAGAAGATGGGGGTTAATGGTTGTTTGGATGAGTACGAGAAGCTTGTGATAAGGATGAACACTCCGAGGTTTGTGTTCTTTTTTAACCTCTGTTTTTTTTCCTCCGATTTTCAATTTGTTCTTACACAAACCTTAGATTTCTCAGATACAGGGACGAACTGCACTATTTTCCCGCTGATTCAGGTTTTCATTTCACCGAAAATTACTGAAATCTGAATGTCCGGAAGTTAAATTTTCCGAGAAAAATTTATGGGTTTTTTTCTCTCGTTACCTCCCTTCTTCGCCTCTTTCCGACAAATGTCTTGCCAGTAAACCGAGAAAATATTTTTTTAAGAAGCTAAAATTAAAAGTATGGGGAACAACAACGAGGAATTGATTTTTTTATTTATTCAAATGTATTAATACCATTTCCAATTTTGAAGGTTATTCTCCATGTCGTTTTCCTCTAGTTTGGTCTTCTTCCAGAATCGCCCGACTCCCTTTTCCTGTCTCTCTTGTTTTTTTCCGTGTTCATACTTGATGCCCATCATCAACTTGGGACTTTTATCGTCACCGCCTTTCAATGAAATTTCAGTTAAAAAAACGTCATTGCTGAGAATTTAAAAGTCCTTTTAATAATGAAATGGGAATATATGTATATATGTATATGTATAGAACTTTAATATTGGGTGATATTATTACAGGGTCGTGATCGACAACGGCGTTTACGCTTCCGCAACAATCGTCAAGGTTAGGTTTCTGTTCTCTCTGTAATTTTTCTGAAGACAGACATTACCACCGCTTGATTGATTTATCGATTTCATTTATAATTTTTTTTTTTGAATGGGTTTAGGTTGACAGCGCAAGGAGACACGGCAACTTGTTGGAATCCGTACAGATTCTGACCGATTTGAACCTCTCCATTAAAAAAGCTTACATCTCTTCTGATGGGAGATGGAACATGGATGGTAATAACAAATCAAATACTCGAAATATTCAGTAGTAAATTACCTATTTGTAATATGGGTTTTCATATTTTTTTCTGGGTATCGCAGTTTTTCATGTGACTGATATAAACGGCAACAAATTGAACGACCAGAGCGTTCTGAGCTACATTGAACAGGTGAATACTTGTCACTTACAATATCGAATTTTTCAGTTTGATCTGTGTTTCTCATCATCTTCTAATGTTTCTCTGTATACGATGATGCTTTTTCTTGCAGTCGATCGAGACGGTTTATTACGGGCAAAACATCGAAGTGAATGGGCTAACGGTCTTGGAGTTAACCGGAACTGACAGAGTCGGGTTACTGTCTGAAGTGTTTGCTGTTCTGTCTGATCTGAACTGTGACGTGGTTGATGCCAAAATCTGGACACACAACGGAAGGATCGCAGCGATCATATACGTGAAAGACTGTAATTCGGGTTCCCCGATTCAAGACTCGCATCAAATCGCAAGGATCGAAGCCCGTCTGAGAAACGTATTGAAGGATGATAACGACCTCAGAAGCGCCACCAGAACTTGCGTATCAATGGCGGTGACACACACGGAAAGGAGGCTGCATCAGTTGATGTTCGAGGACAGGGACTATGACAGAAAACAGAAGGAGGAATCTTCAGTCGTGACGGTTCAGAATTGGGCGGAGAGAAGCTACTCTGTTGTTAATGTTCAGTGTAAAGATCGGACAAAGCTTCTGTTTGATGTCGTGTGCACATTGACCGACATGGATTATGTGGTGTTTCATGCCACCATCAACACGAAAGCAGACCGAGCTTACCTGGTATGTCAGAACTTAGAAGAATCCAACTATTTATTTACCGATGAAAACTTATGAATATGAACTAAAGGTTTCTCTCTTTTTTATTTTCAGGAATTCTATATAAGGCATAAAGACGGGTCACCCATCAGTTCAGAAGCCGAGAGGCAACGTGTGATTCAGTGTTTACAAGCCGCGGTCCAAAGAAGAGCATCCGAGGTATATATTATGATTCATGAACCATTCCCCATCATAAAATTGTGATAAAGTTTTCTCCTTTTTTTATCCGAAATCTGAACTACATTATATATTCTTGATTTTGATTTGGTAGGGTGTTAGGTTGGAGCTGAGGCATCCGGACAAACAAGGGTTACTAGCCGAGGTTACGAGAACGTTCAGAGAGAACGGTCTGAACGTGACGAGAGCTGAGATATCGACGAGCGGTGATATGGCAACAAACATATTCTACGTGACGGATGCCAATGGCAAGGCGGCAGATGCTAAATTGATCGAAAACGTTCGGGAAAGAATAGGGTTTGAGCGATTGAGAGTGAAGGAAACGCCATTGGTATTCTACAAGGAAGAAGAAGGACAACAACAGAGAAGGGCAGTGTTGACTTCACTTGGGAGTTTGGTTTGGAGAAACCTCTTTAGCTTCGGTTTGGTGAAATCATGTTCTTAGGTTTCTGTAAGAATCGATGAAATCGGGAATTTGGTGGCATTATTCCTCTTTTATGTACATAGAAAATGGTTAGGGTTTAGGTATTGGATTAATGCTTTATTTTTATAATAGGTGATTTGGTGTTGCTTTTAGGGTTTTAGGTATCACACTAGGGTTTATCAACTTTCTAATTTAAAGATTTTTATTATTTCTTGTTGTTGGTTTTTGGTAGTTGTGAAGTTAGATTATTAACGGTTGAGGTTTAACTTTTGTGGAATATTATTTATAAGTTAGTAAAAAATGTGGGTTGATTTCAGGGCTGAGGTTGAGGTTTAAAGGAAAGATAGGAGTGGATGTTTTGGGAATTAGTTTTGGTTCGGGGCGAGAATATATTAATTCGGTTTTTTCGGTTTTATAAAAATAGGTACCAATTGATTTTTATATTATATTCGGATCGGTTCGGTTCCGATTTTTGTTAAAAAAAAGATATATTTTTTCGAAAATTTTCGGTTTGTAGGTATTTTTTTAAAATTCGGTTCAGTTTTGGAAAATTTGGTTTTCTAACCGTTTGAGAATTTAAAACGGTTTAAATCGGAAAAAATATTGTATTTTTCGATTCGATTTGATTCAGTTTTAAAAAACCAAACCGAACTCACCATCCATAAACTTATATAATCTTTTAATAAATTATCATTAAAAATTGTTTATTTTAATAATATCGACTGATTCATAATCTATATTAACGGTGAAAAAAATTATGGCATCACAAAGGTTTAATCTCTTTTCTTCAAAAAAAAGTATATGAGTTACGATTGACTTCACGCGCCACTTGTGCGCGTATGAGTATTATCCCTTTAACGCTCAAGTAGGCCCATATATAAGGTCCATGAGTTAACATCCAAATATAATTAATGGGCCCATAATTAACTTTTCGGCCCATTATCATCTTGAGTTGTAGAATGTACAAGTTGCCACCGTCAATTTTTTTTTCTTTTATGTCTGTTTGATGAGTGCTCAAGGGAGGAAACCGGGTGGTTTCTTTTCCCAGTTAAGGATCGGTTTAAGCCGGTTTAGACGGAGACCTTTTTTCTCGATGGCTCATGGATTACGGATGGAGTTTAAACACTTTCTTTCGCCTGAAGACAAAACGTCGTGCAGTTTGCGTGCACGAAGAGACGGCGTGACAGTTTCGGGTTTTCAAAGCAAACTTCATGGCGTTTTATCGACCGGCAAGCAAAGTTTTGCTTAGGACAAGGATTTTGCATGTAGAATTACAATTTACATGTGCCATACTTTTAATTTTAATTTGGACAGAGTCAAAACTTAAGCGTGTTCACTCTTTTACTTTTAATATATAAAGATATTATATGGACGAATTTAAATTAATAGCACTGAAATAATTAAGATTAATCTTAATCTTAATTATTTAAGCTAACTCATATAAACTTGTGAAAATTAGCATTAAAGTGATATTTTATCCTTTCAAGAAACTAAACTAATACTTCTATTTTTCTCATTATTATTTTCATCATATGGTTAATATCTCGATAATAAATATTTCTAAATCTATTCACACATATAGAAACAATCATTTGACTTTTAATTTCACATTCCTTTCAAGAAAGAAAAATATACAATTTGACATTGCGAATCTTATGACATGGATACGATGATCTTTGACTCGCCAAATACATAAATACCAAAGGAAATTTTCAGGAAGGAAAAAAAAAAGATAAAAGAGAAGCTTATTTTTTGAATGTGATTATCTTAAAATGTAACTATCCACTTCAAGAATCTTGAATCATTCTCTCAAACCCATAAAATATACACTCTACTATAACTTGTTTATCAAGAAACAGACATACAACATATGCTTAGAATCTTATACTTAAAATAATACACAATATAGGATGCGTATACATATATATATATGTTTATATATCACAATTACTTCACACAATGGACTTTTTCTACTCATTTTCTCGGCAAAGTTCTTGGTATTTTCCCGGAAAGTTACCTCTTAAATCTTGCACAACACTCAAGCCTCTTATGTTCATATAAGAAGCCCTGAAAAAAAAGAGTATCCACCAAAAAAAAAAAAACCTTTTCCGGGGAATGCACATGAAGATTATCTGGCAAACTATTGCTTCAATAGCGATTGTGAGCTTGTTTTCGAACTATTTGTCTGCTCCTCCGAGCCCTTTTCTTCTCTGTTTTCTCCTTAGTACGATCATTTTCTTGCTAATCGTCGACAATAGTCACTCGGATTATCAAGAAAACGAAGAAATGTTCCCGGAGACGATCGGAGGAGTTTACGTTATGTATGAATTTGAAGAAGATATCGCCTCTGGTGATATAGTAAAGAACGATTCATGGAGCTTCACAAGATATTGTGATCATAGTGGTTATGATTATGGTGGTGAAGATGAGGATGTATGGGATGCTTATGATGGTGACTATGGTGATACAAGTGAATGGTATGGTGATGATGATGATGATGATGATGATGATGATGATGATGATGGCTTGAGGAGTAGTGTTGAAGATTTCATTGCAAGGGTATATGAAGGGTGGAGGGAGGAGAGAATGGTGGATATATAACCTGCACAACAGTTTTTTGTTTTGATGATCTCTCTAAACTCTGTGTTTATATGTAAATACATGTTTTGCATCTTCTGTGTCATTTACACCGATCGATCCTCTTGTTATTTATCGATCATCTCGGTTGTATCCATCTCGATTTCGGGTTTTTCCTCTTTTTTTTTTTTGGAAGGACATTTTTTTTTTTGGTTCATGAACATAACTTTTCCAAGTACAAGATCACACAGTACAGTACCATATCTGTCAACTTTCAAGAAGCAGACAAATACAACAGACAGAATTTGAGGAGGTCTGAATCACTACAACTCTACCCCCAACCAATTCGGTCATAACCAGAGAAAACAGAAGTAAACCGACACGGGTTGAATATCATGAGCATCAGACCCGATTTTGACAACATATCCTATAGATTTTCCATGAGTTTTCTTCCATGTGGATCCTGAAATGGCAGAAGTTTATATCTAAGTTGGCTTCTCGTAAGAGTTCTGGTCCCTGAACTCGGCAATGGCGCTTCTGATCATATGCTCGACGTGAGGCTGAACGAACATGTGGGTACTGTCGAGTATATGTATAATGAATTTCTGAGAAGCGGGCATCGAGTTGTTCAGGTTGATGATGAACTGAGCCATCGGAATATCGCTGTATCATCACATGAACATGAAGAATTCAGTATGAGAAGAGATTTCGCCTCAGTTCATAAGATTTGTTCCGATATGTAATAGAGTTGGATTAAGGTAAGGTACCAGGAAATGAAAACCCCTTTAATGGCGTTAACCATGATTTGTCAGCAATAATCGGAATCCAGAAACTGCAAACCGCAGCTATGGAACTGACAAAAGAAACAAGAAAAGAGTTTCAATGAACCGTGTGATTCCCTATCACCAGAGTGAAGCTCATTCATCAAGGAATCACTAATCTATCATCGAGGAAGTTTCATGGTTGCCACTTTGTAAAGACCTTAAATTGAACATTCAACATAATCCACTTACCATATTCCCGAAGAAATCATACCCATATCATTCTGAAGATGTTCCCGGCCTACAAACCCTAGAAACTACGAATATGGATCCAGTACGGACATCGATATAGTAACGGAAGTGATCCAGAAAGCTCGAAAATCGGCTAGAATAAACGATTATTTCACAGTCCATCAACTCCAAGCACAGTTTATTAGACTCAGTGTAAAGAAACCCAATCAATTCAAAAATTGGAAAACACAGTCACAGATCACACACGAAACCAACATTACAGAACGAATCAATCAATATTGCATTCGATAGAAAGAGAGCGTTTTTCGATTACCCTTCTCGATTCGGCTGACGAAAAGGGAGCTTTGGGTGTGGACGAGCTCGGGCAATCCGGTGAGTCACCGAAAATACGAGAGAATAGATGCAGACCGGTGGCGAAGAGACAGTCCAGAGCCGAAAAGATGGCCGGCGACGAAGGAGAGAAAATCAAAAGAGAAAGACCTGAGACTGACGGCGAAGAAGGACAAAAGAGAAAGACCTGAGACTGGCGAAGACGAAGGAGAGAACACCGGCGACGACGGAGCTGAAACTGCCGGCGACGTTGGAGCTGAAGAAGCAAAATGAAATGTCGTCGAGGAGTGAGAAGAGGGAGGAGGAGGCTCACCCTAGATTTTTAATTTTAAATTCGGTTTATTCAGATAACCGGAATTAATCGGTTATTTACCCGAATCGATCCGATCGGTCGGTTTTCTAAAAATAACCGAACCGAACCGAAATCGCTTATTCGGATCGGTTCGGTGAAACCCCGATTGCCCAGGCTGATCAATCTGAAATTGTGTAGCTCTCCGGCGTATACATTAAATTAACCTTTCTCAAGACACTTAATGGGATGTCCATTGTACGTACATTCATAATTTTATTATACACACACATATATATAAGTATGTATGTACAATTGGATATTCAATAGATGTATATACGATGATTATTATATGCTAGAAACTTCTTAAGTTGTAACCTCCTCGGTACAGTCTTAATATGCAAAGAAAAACGTATACGAATGTGTGCGGATTGTCCATATATTATTTAGGGTAATAATAATCTCATTTCCATATTCATGATCCGTTTTCTTTTTTAAAAATACAGAATAATTGAAGAAAATATTTAAAGACGCTTATATTATTTGTCCCTTATTTATTTTAATTGAAGAAAATACTTAAGAGAAAAATGGGAAGACCGATGGCATAAATAAATGTGATGTGAATGTACAAACTCGACCGAAAAGAATTTGGATATAGCTCTGTACATAGAAAAATTTGATTGTAATATTTTTAATAATTTTCAAATGTGAATGGAAAATGTAAGCAACTTAATTAATTCAAATCTTTAACAAGTTTATATAAATGTATGATACAACATAACAAAATATGAATGCATAAAATGGCAAATAATATATAAATAGGAACCGAGTGCACAAGGCAGGATGTTTTTCATGACTTTAAATTGCCACCTACCCATGAGAATCACGAATCTCACACAAACAATCAAACAAAAAAAAGAAAAAAAAGAAATCACAATATATATATATATATATGTATATATTAAACCAAGATAATTAATATTGTATTGCATTTTGGAAAAAACAATAACACTTGTGAAGGTTTGTCATCACAACACAACACACAGTCTCTCTCTCTAGAAACAAAACAAATTCCTAGGTTGCCCTTTTCTGCCCACATTCCGAATATATCCCACATAGATAACAAGTCACAAATGGAAACCCCACCAACCAAATTTGTTATGTATATTTTTTAAAAATCAGATTTTTATATAAAAAAAAATTCAAAAAACGTATACAATTCATATTAGTCCACTATTGGGATATTTAATCATTTCATTTGACAATATTAACGAAAAAATGTTTCATCACTCTCACTCCTCCATTAGTAGATATTGTTATAAATAATCCATACAAGCATTGGGTTCCCTTGCCATATAAAAATCCATAGTTATATATCTAATCAAGAGAATTCAATCACTCATAATAAGGCGAGACTACTGCTTATGTCATGAATCATTTCTTAGTTTAATCATTCTTTTCCCCATATATAATAGTTGTATTGTACCAAGATATAGAAGAGTTGATACTATATAATAATGAAAAATATTAAATAATATCCATTGATAAAATATCTAAATGCAATTAAGGGGGTGAGGAAATGGACAAAGAACCCAACAAATCACTAAAAAAAGAGAGAGAAGAATATAAAAGGAGACATGAAAAGGCAAATTTTAAAAAGAGAAAAGCCCCATAACTTCACGGAGCGCGTGAGAAACACGCTCCAATGGCGAGGAGGCGAGGGAGTGTATCGGCCATTGCCATGTTCCTGTTCTCGTACGACGTGGGACTGCGGGTGGTCTCGCCTTGTTCCTATCAAAGGCTTCGTTCCACGTCTTCTCTCATGCGCTCATCTCCGCGCGTGTGTTTCACCTTCCCATACTCTCTGTCTCGCTCTTATTTTTCTCGTTTCCCCTCACTCTCTCTGTTTCTCTGTTGTCTCTTTTCTTCGTTGAAATCTCAGACAGCTAGAACAAAAACCGATCAATGAGGGGAGAATTTTTTTTTTCCGTGGGGAACAAGCGAGTATCGTGATCGCCGGAAAATCTCCATGGAGTCTCCGAAGCTCCTACAACCGCCGGAATTCCTCGGCTGAATGTGTCTCTTACAAGAACAGAGAACGAAGATACTTGAGCCCTTGTTAAAAGGCGAGAAAAAATTTCATCCTTTTTTCCTCACTCTGAGAGAAAAAAAAAGTTTGAATTTTGTTGCCGCCCAGGGGAAATTCGTGGGTTTTAATCATCTGGGTCATCGCGGAATGACGAGTACAAACACCGCCATGACGGCTCCTCCTCCGCCGCCGCCGCCACAGCCGCAGCAACAACCTCCTCTGCCACATCTTCCGGTGGCTGCTGTGGCGGAGGGTCCGTCGGCGGACGAGTTGACGGCGAAGGCGTTGCACAAGAGGTACGAAGGCCTGACGACGGTGAGGACGAAGGCGGTGAAGGGGAAAGGCGCGTGGTATTGGATGCACCTCGAACCTATCCTCGTCCACAACACCGACACTGGCCTTCCCAAGGCGGTGAAGCTCCGGTGCTCGTTGTGCGACGCCATTTTCTCCGCCTCGAACCCTTCTCGCACCGCCTCCGAGCACCTGAAACGAGGCACCTGCCCCAACTTCAACAACTCCTTAATCACACCCATCACCTCTGCCAATCCTCCTCCGCCGCCGCACCATCGCCACCGCCACCGCCACGGCGGAGAGCGTTACCGAAAACGTAGGTCCTCCGCTTCTTCCGCTGCCCTGGCCTCGCCGTCGAGTGGGGGATCCTACCACGTGGCGCCGATTACTGCCATCGACCCGTCGCGTTTCTGTGGCGGAGAGTCGCTGTACTCGGCGTCTCCGGTGGGTTTATTGACGCAGCAGCCGCATTTGATGCTCTCCGGCGGGAAAGGCGATTTGGGTCCGTTGGCGATGTTAGAAGACAGCGTGAAGAAGCTCAAGAGCCCTAAGACGTCGAACACTCCGTCTCTCAGCAAGTCGCAGATGGAATCGGCCCTCGATTCTCTCGCCGATTGGGTCTTCGAATCTTGCGGTTCGGTTTCTCTGTCCGGTCTGGAGCATCCCAAGTTCAGAGCTTTTCTGACGCAGGTAGGTTTACCGGTCATCTCCAGGAGAGATTTCGCCACGAGCAGATTGGACATCAAGTACGAGGAATCTAAGTCTGAAGCAGAAAACAGACTCCGAGACGCCATGTTCTTCCAAATCTCTTCCGACGGATGGAAATTCGGCAATTTGGGCGAGAATCTGGTGAACTTGATCGTGAATCTGCCGAATGGGACGAGTGTATACAGCAGAGCAGTGTTCGTGAAAGGCGATATGCCGTCAAACTACGCAGAGGAGCTCTTGTGGGAGACAGTGATGGGCATCTGTGGGAATTCACCGCACCGTTGTGTTGGGATAGTTTCAGACAGGTTCAAGGCCAAAGCACTTGAGAATCTGGAGAATCAACACCAATGGATGGTGAATCTCTCTTGTCAATTTCAAGGTTTCAACAGTTTGATCAAGGATTTCAGCAAGGAGCTTCCTTTGTTCAAATCCGTCTCTCAGAATTGTCTAAGGCTAGTTAGTTTCATCAACAACACCGCTCAAATCCGACAAGCTTTTTGTAAGTATCAGCTGCAAGAACATGGCGAATCTAGAATGCTTCCACTGCCTTTGCACTGTTACCATTTGGACGACCGAAATGGAGCGAGTTTGTCCGAGCCGTTGTATAGTCTACTTGAAGATATGTTGAACTCTGCTAGGGCAATTCAGTTGGTAATACATGATGATGTTTGTAAGGTTGTCTCCATGGAAGATCCTATGGCTAGGGAGCTCAGGGACATGGTCGGGGATGTTGGGTTCTGGCACGATATCGAGGCGGTTCACTCGCTGGTTAAACTCGTCAAAGAAATGGCTAAGAGAATAGAGGAGGAAAGGCCCTTAGTAGGGCAATGCCTCCCGCTATGGGACGAGCTAAGATCGAAGGTAAAAGATTGGTGCACGAAGTATAATGTGGCGGCGGAAGGGCATGTCGAGAAACTAGTGGAGAGACGATTCAAGAAGAATTACCACCCTGCATGGGCTGCAACTTTCGTACTCGACCCTTTTTACTTGACAAAGGACAGCACCGGAAAATATCTTCCTCCTTTCAAATGCCTGTCACCCGAGCAAGAGAAGGACGTAGATAAGCTGATAACGAGGCTCGTGTCTAGAGACGAGGCGCACGTCGCACTGATGGAACTGATGAAATGGCGAACACAAGGGCTCGACCCCGTGTACGCAAAGGCGGTCCAAATGAAGGAACGAGACCCGGTTACGGGAAAGATGAGAATAGCAAACCCGCAAAGCAGTAGACTTGTGTGGGAAACGTGTCTTAGCGAGTTCAGGTCACTGGGAAAAGTCGCGGCTAGGCTCATCTTCCTCCACGCCACTTCTTGTGGGTTCAAGTGCAACTCCTCTATCTTGAGATGGGTAAATTCGCATGGACCGTCACGAGCAGCCATACATCGAGCACAGAAGCTGATTTTTATATCGGCGAATTCAAAATTCGAAAGGAGGGATTTCTCGAACGAGGAGGAAGGGGACGGAGAATTACTCGCCATGGCTAACTGTGAGGATGATGTGCGGAACGAGGTTCTTGTGGATACATCCTCCGCCTGAAATTTTCATTAGTTTGTTAGAACTTGCATTTTGTACCTCTTGGCCAATATCGATCAGACATTGGCATTTAAAAAAAAAAGATTTTTTTTTAAAGAAAAGAGTTTCCATCTTTCTTGATCCATTGGGGTATAAAAGCCAAGAACTTTGGGGTAAAAAAGTTAAAATAAGGACCACGAAAACGCCTTTATCAACAGCAGGAAAAAAAAAAACTTGGAAAACTCTGTGGTAAGATTTCATAAATGGGCTGACCAGACAGCTAAAAGTGAAACTACACAAATTAAGTAAAAACAGTGCAAAGCAGAAAAATTATTAAAAGTGAACAAAATGTATAATTGAATTAGATGCTGTTTTTCCATTTAAGTTCGAGACAAACAGATAGGTCTGAGTACTCTCTCCCCTTTTATTTTATTTTTCACAACCCCTTTGCCATTCTATCTTTTTGAAGTTTAACGCATTAATGTAACAAATATATCTATATATATGACCAGTTATATATATATATATATTATTGTAAATATATAAATAGAAAAGTGTAGCATTTGATATGTTTTAACCAATAATTGATCATTCATAATTATAGAAGCTGGGAAAAGAGTGAGCGATCATTTATTTTATCTGCCAATGTAATATTCGGTTATCGATTGAAGGGAATGAATGGTGTTTGAGCACTTTGAAGTTTGAAGTTCCTTGAGGAATCACTTTATTTATTATTGTTTTTTTTTCTGGGGTTTGGTTTTCTCAGCCAAAAAAGTATAAACAAAAAGCACCCGCTCAAAGAGATGTATTTAAAAAAGAAGTTACATTAATATTTGATAGAAAAATCGTATATAAATATCCAAATTTTTATAAAAATCTCAAATAAATATCTAAACTATAAAACTTCCAGAAAAATACATGACATGATATATATGGATGCTGACTAGGTTTTAAGGTTTTTGATCGGTTTAATAATTTCAAATCTGTTTTGTTCAATTGTGGTTATAATTTAAGTATTAAACCAATCTAAATGATATGGATGATGATTAGGATATTTTTATTGACAAATCATCTTTTTTAATTTTAATTAATATAAAACTTCATTTACATAATTTTTTTGTTAATGAGAATTTCAATAATCACTGAACCGATTCAATTCTAATTTTAATTCATATAAATAAGAAGATTATAACTGGTGTACTGATTAATCACGTGCATGCGTAGGAGTTCGGCACGTGAGGATCCCCTACATTTTTCTGTTAATGCCCTTCTTCAATTAAAACTAACCTTTACGTTAAATAATATAGTATATTAGATTAAAAAAAATAAGATATTGAATGTGTTATAGGAATATGTGTTATAGAAATATGTGTGCTATAGAAATATGTGTTCAACACACAATTATTATTTAGACTAAATTTATTATTAGGACTAGAGTGTTCTTTTGAGTTGTATATATGTGTGGCTTCTTTGTATTTGGAAAATAACCAAAAACACAAGAATAATATTTTCTTTAGATGGTATCAGAGCAAATAGTCTAACGACCTCTTTTACCGATTCTTTCTTATCCTACACCCTAGCCGATCCGATCATGTCGCAGGAAAATTCCTCTTCTCATGCAACCGATGCAGTGGTTGTCGCCACCGTATCCATTGTTGCCTATAACCCTCTCTCCTCTCGTAGATATCTCAGCAAGTGTCGCCACCACGACCATTCTGCTTCGCGACAAGCCTCTGGCTCCTCTCGTGGATATCTCGGCAAGTGTCAGGCATGCGGAGTTCAAGGACACTCAGCCCAAAGGTGTCCTCACTTTCGCCTAATCTCGGCATCGGGCATTCTCGGTGGTTCTCCTCACCAAACGCAATTTCAGCCATCTTCACCACGCTCATGGCAGCCTCGCGCCCACAACACCACGATGAATCCGTACGACGCTTCCCCGTGGCTTGTTGACAGTGGAGCCTCACACCACATAACGTCGGACTTCGACTCTCTCTCGCTCCACAACCCCTATCGTGGTGGAGACGAGGTTATTCTCGGTGATGGGTCCAGCCTTCCCATCACACATACGGGTTTCCTCTCAACCTCATCATCTACTCGTCCTCTGACTCTTCAACATGTTATTTGTGTTCATTCAATGCAAAAGAAGCTTATTTCGGCGTCTCGACTATGTGAGTCTAATTCCGTCTCGGTTGAATTCTTTTCTGATTCATTTCAGGTGAAGGATCTACACACGGGGGCGCAACTTCTCACGGGAAAGCTTAAAGATGGTGTATATGAGTGGCCGGCTTCCTCCTTTTTCCCGTCTCCTCATGTTTCTTTTTCTCGTCTTAAGCCCTCGTTGTGTGAATGACATTTTCGTCTAGGCCATCCATCTCTTTCTACTCTTCGTCATATTGTCTCTAAATTCAATTTACCTTTTGCTCGGGATTCTAAACCGTTTTCTTGTGATTCATGTTCTCGCAATAAAAGCCATAAACTCCCTTTTTCGGAATCCTCTATTTCTTCGTCGCGTCCTCTTGAGCTTATTTTTTCTGATGTTTCGACATCACCCGTCTTGTCTCTTGATGGTTTTAAGTATTACGTATTGTTTGTGGATCACTTCACTCGTTACTCTTGGTTGTATCCTCTCAAACACAAATCTCAGGTTCGGAAAACTTTCATTCGTTTTAAATCCTTGGTTGAAGCAAAATTTTCGTCGTCCATTGTTTCTCTTTACACGGACAATGGCGGGGAATTTATTGCTTTACGCTCGTTTCTTACCGACCACGGTATCTCTCATTTCACCACTCCTCCTCACACTCCCGAGCATAATGGTATTTCTGAACGAAAACACCGTCACATAGTTGAAACCGGTCTATCCCTTCTTCATCATGCATCTTTACCTGTCTCTTTTTGGTCATTTGCCTTTACCATGACCGTATTTCTCATCAACCGTCTTCCAACACCGACGTTATCCATGTCAAACCCTTTCGAGTCTCTCTTTGGTTCCTCTCTGCAATATGAAAAACTTCAAACCTTCGGGTGCTTGTGTTACCCGTGGCTTAGACCATACACCTCTCATAAACTTGATCCCAAATCCTCTCCGTGTGTTTTTCTCGGTCATTCCTTGTCCCAATCCGCATTCATTTGTTTCGACTTTTTGTCCTCCCGTATATTTGTGTCACATCACGTTGTATTTCATCGTGACATCTTTCCCATGTCGGACCCTTCTCGGTTTCGTGTTGTTTCCTCTTCCTTGGATGATACACTTTCTCGAGAATCTCTGTCTTCACCGAGCACTTTCACTGAGGCTGTTGTCTCATTTATTCCTCCGGCCTCTATATCATCATCTTCGTCGCCCTTATGTGCAGCTCCTTCGCCTTTGGAATGCTCGGAAGAAGACTCAGATGTGGCACTGCCCGTCCTGCAGCCCGCCGAGGGACGTTCCTCCGCTGTCGCACCTGCGTCTATTCCTTCTCCGCCGAGGAACACACACCCCATGATGACTCGAGGGAAGAATCATATTACTAAACCTGTTCAAAAGCTCACTTTGGCTGTGTCTTTGCCTTCTATTCCCAGTGAACCTTCTTCGGCTGCTCAAGCGCTTAAGGATCCTCAATGGCGTTCAGCCATGGTTGATGAATTTAATGCCCTTGTCCGGAATGGTACTTGGGAGCTTGTGCCGCTGACCTCAGCTGTGAATACCGTGAGCTGCAAATGGGTTTTTCGGGTTAAGACTAAGCCGGATGGTTCAGTAGATCGGTTCAAAGCTCGCTTAGTTGCCAAGGGTTTCCATCAACGCCCGGGTGTGGATTTTCTTGAGACGTTCAGTCCAGTGGTTAAACCCACTACTATTCGCCTAGTTCTCAGTCTTGCCGTGACTAGCTCTTGGTCTATCCGTCAACTTGACGTTAACAACGCCTTTCTCCAAGGACGACTCAGTGATGAAGTGTTTATGTCTCAGCCTCCGGGATTTGTGGATCGTGATCATCCTGACTTTGTGTGCAAGCTTCATAAGGCTATATATGGTCTTAAGCAAGCTCCTCGGGCTTGGTATTTGGAGTTACGTGGTTTTCTTCTTGGCTGTGGTTTTCATAACTCTCTTGCTGATGCCTCGCTCTTTCATCGCCGCTATACCGGTTCTATACTTCTTGTTATTGTCTATGTAGATGATCTTATTGTCACAGGCAGTTGTTCTGACGAGATCCAATCCTTCATTATCTCTCTCGGTACTCGGTTCTCTATTAAGGACCTTGGTGACCTATCTTTCTTCCTCGGCGTGGAGGCGACGCGTTCCCCTATGGGCTTATTTCTCAGTCAATGTAAATACATTAATGATCTTCTACATCGCACCAAGATGCATGACGCCAAGCCAGTAGCAACGCCCATGGCGTCCACATCTCGTCTTACAGCCACATCCGGTTCTCCTCTTCCTGATCCGACCGAGTATCGGACTGTGATCGTCAGTCTTCAGTACCTCTCCTTGACACGACCAGATGTGTCTTTTGCTGTGAACAAGTTGTCACAGTTTATGCATGCCCCGACTGATGAGCATTGGCTTGCAGCCAAACGAATCCTCCATTACTTGAATGGCACGCGAGCATCTGGTGTTTTTTATGCTGCAACAAACTCCAAGCTACTTCATGCATTCAGTGATGCAGATTGGGCTGGTGATCCCGGTGACTTTAAGTCGACAGGTGCCTACATTGTCTATCTCGGTAAACATCCAATTTCTTGGTCGTCCAACTCTTCCACCGAGGCAGAATATCGCTCTGTTGCTAACACATCGGCTGAACTCCGTTGGGTTGTCTCTTTGCTCTCCGAACTTGGATATTCTCCTCCCTCGACTCCGACCATCTACTGCGATAACGTGGGTGCTACTTATCTCAGTGCTAACCCAGTCTTTCATTCACGCATGAAGCATCTCGCCCTCGATTACCTTTTTGTTCGTGGTCAAGTTTCGGATGGCTCACTTCGGGTCGTTCATGTTTCCTCCAAAGATCAACTCGCGGATGCTCTCACAAAGCCTCTCGCTCGGACTCTCTTCCATGATCTCTGTGTCAAGATCGGCCTCACCTCCGGTGCTCCGACTTGAGGGGGCATATTGAATGTGTTATAGGAATATGTGTTATAGGGATATGTGTGCTATAGAAATATGTGTTCAACACACAATTATTATTTATACTAAATTTATTATTAGGACTAGAATGTTCTTTTGAGTTGTATATATGTGTGACTTCTTTGTATTTGGAAAATAACCAAAAAAACACGAATAATATTTTCTTTAGATAAGACGCTAACCATTAAGAAACCATAATACTATAACTCGTCCAGCCGCGAGATTGCATTAGGCAAGGTCTTTGCGGTCGAAAGGATTATACTTTTTAAAATTGTGTTTATACTATTATATATATATATACATAGTATATTGATGGAATTCTACTTTTAATTTCGTTCTTGTTAGTATGATACAGTGTATGAATAAATGTACAGACTTGGTGAAATTTGTATTTATATAATTAGCATATTGCAATTGAATGAGTATGAGAGAGGGAGTGGGAAATAATATATACAACATGTATGGAATATAACTGCATATATCATTTCTTTCAAATGATATCTTTGGATATATTTTTAATAACAGAGTTTATTCTTTTTTATAAAGGGATATTAAAATATAATATTTGTAAAGAGAAAAATTATAATTACTCATGGCAGAGTTGATATGAAATGCATAAATAAAAGCGCAATAATGATAAAAAAGAGAATGCCTATTTGGACATGTGAATGAATTATTTCATCTAGTTTCCTTTCATTGTAAGAAAATGATGAACAAACCCATGGTAATTTTTTAAGAATATCTACTATCATCATCATATATATTTTGACAAAAAAAAACATGCTATGTACTCATTAATTCTCGAATTCATAAACGATAAAAAATTTATTATTGTTTCTAGTAGATTTTTTTTTTAAACAGGGTTTGCTCAAAGTGATTTTATGTTCTTAGTTCTTACCATATATTTTTTTTAACAACTAGTTAAATAATATATTTTAGCAGTGTACCATACCATTATATATAATATTAATATTATGTATGGTGTAGCATTTAATTTTATGTATAATCACATTAATTTCTTTAGTTCTAAGTAGATTCCGTGAAAACTAATATAAACGTGTTAAAGACCGTTAAGAGAAAAAGAACAGAGAATTTAGTCGTACCCAACAGCTTGTGGGCGAGTGATCAGCACGTGGGTGCAAAGCACTCAGAGGTTGGCGGTTCGATTCCTGGTTGGGAAAGGGTTTTCACATGGGCTGTCCCGTTCCTCTGGGAGATGTAGTTGGGCCGAAGGCCCGGTGAATTTCCGGATTATCACAAAAAAAAAGAGAGTTTGGTCGCAAAAGATATAAGACCAGGTCCATGTGGTTAGCTGAAGAGACAAAAAATCTACAACTATCATATTGTTCTTGAAAATATGCATTCTAAAATTTAAATCAGTTGTTATCGTATATTTTAATATTAAAATTTATTTTATAGTTTAATATGTTATTACTTTTTTAGATTTTTTTTTCAAATTTCATTATCGTTAAATGTCAAATGAATTTTCATTATCTTCCAAAATTGATCCACTATAGTGTTGAAGATAATATAAATAATGATGTAGCAATGAAAAGAAAGTTAATGGGTTTTTTTACATACATTTGAATCTAATTTCTCTTTCTATATTGTATTTTAATAATTTAATATCGGATCATAAAGTGCATCTGGACAAGCAAATATTAGAACATGTGAAAATGTATTTTAAATTCAAAAGGAACAGTAAAAATATTTTCAACAACAAAATATTTTCTTATATATAAATATAACTTAATTTTTTACTTTAAGAAGACAAAATTACTATAATGATTTATTTATTTTTCCCGAATTACCCTCATAATTATAAATTTGGATTCAATTGAATTATCGTCTGGCTTACAATGAAGAATTAACATGAAGTCTTCTAAAAGGGTTATAAAATGAAGAAGTGAATATTTAATACAAGAGTTTAAAATACTTTTATGTACTTGTGAAATCGACATGAACCCATCATTTTTAAAATGTCTTGGATTGATAATGATTTTCAAAGAATATGGTTCATTTTGAATTTAGGAAAGAGATTAGGGGGTTAAAATGGAATTTAAAACATATCATAGATAGACAAGAGGGAGAGTTGGAGAATCCAGTATCGGACACGTGTCAATGCAAAGATCGTCCACGTACATACAATTCGAACCACACAGGTGAGTTTCCTTCCCTCCATTTTTCGAAGACGTGCGCATCCCCCGCGCAAGTTATTCTGTCGCGATTTCTTCTCACCGACGGCGCACGTTAGGAACCTATTCCTTCTCCCGATGTCATCGGCGGCATCTGCTCAACCGGGTCGGATCCGGGTCCTGAAGGAAGGTATCCGGAAACCATCTGATCAAGCGGTGGGGCCCGTCGTTTACTGGATGTTTAGAGATCAACGGCTGAGAGACAACTGGGCTTTGATCCACGCAGTCGATGAGGCGAACAAAGCCAACACCCCGGTAGCGGTGGCGTTCAATTTGTTCGATCAGTTTCTCGGCGCCAGAGCGAGGCAATTAGGGTTTATGTTGAAGGGTCTTCGTCAGCTTCATCGGCAGATAGAATCTCTTCAAATCCCATTTTTTCTGCTACAGGTGAGTCCAGAGCTGAATCCGACATGAACCCATCATTTATAACTCGTTGGTTTACTTGTGAAATCGACTGTACTAACTGGGGGCTGAAATTAGGGTTTGTTCATGTGATCTTATTACATTGAAATGGGTCTGGTAGATGAAATGTCGTTATTTTCCTTCCGTTCAAAGGCTTTATTTTGAATGCTTCAAATGTTAGTAGTTACGAGACTTTAGGGGACAAAGCTCTGTTCTTTTTGGTGATCTTGTGTGTAGTTCATAAAATCGTGTAG